CGGGCAGCGGGCGGGTCTGTGCGGTGCTGCCCGCCACCGGGCAGAGCCACGGCCGCCTGCCGCGCGTGGGAGCCATGCTGGGGGCAGCTCTAGGCACTCCTGGACACGAGAGCGGGCTGTCGCACGGCTGTGGGAGTACACTTCATAGTTCTGCGGGTAATCTTCGTACGTACGGGCGGTTGAGGCTTGGACGATATTGTAGGGTGTTTTTAGTTTTCCTCCTTGTAGGAATAGAGAAGAAACAGGTACCACGGAAATTAAAAGTTATAAATGCATTCCCTCAGCTCTTCAGTATACCACACCTTTGACAAGAGATAAAAATTTGCATTTGGCACCATCTGTTTGTGCCACTCTGAAAATGAGTTACAAAAGGTGATGTGCTACAGGGCTCACTAACTCAGTGGAATATATATTTATATATTTTTCTCCTCTCTTGTGGTTTCTGCAACCATGCTGATCTTGGAATCTGTTTCAGTCTGTTTAAAGCTGCAAGATAGATTCCCTTTTGCAAAAAAGGGGAAAAGTATAGTGCATTCTCACCTGTAGTGAGTTGGCATCTTCCTCCCAAGTTCTGCTTTACAAACACTAGACAGAATGCTTTAGTTTGTCACCACTTGGTTTATAAACACTGTAAATTCTCTCTAGATGTTTGTTTGTCTTAGCTCAAGTTTTGCTACATTTCCTTTGACTTCAAAAGCCCTTTCAAGAAGGAATCACTTGGTGAAAGTAGCAAACCTAGAAAATAATATGTTGCTGAGAGTAGTTTTACACAAACAATTGAATAGTTCTGTTTTTTAACTTTTCTGAAAGTGAACTAATTCAATTTAGTTTAATGATATGACATTACTATATCTTTATCAGCTGAAAATCTTGCCTGGTGTGTCTAGAAATACTCGACATGAGAGGTGTTATACTACTGCTACCTTTAACATAAGCTCTATATCTGTGATCCCTCTGCATATTCTGGAAAATTTTTTTAGGTGTTTTATCAATAATATGAACTTTAAACGTAGTAGGAATAGGGTTACTTTGGTTTAAGACCTTTAAAGGACTTTGTGGTGAGTCAGGTATGAACACAGTCAGTTACTGTGACAATATGGAAGCCTGTCTAACAGCAGTTTTGACCTTTCTTAAACAAAGGGTTGACATGTTCTTTTTTTTTGTAGAAGACAAGCCATTTCCTGAACCGTATTTAAAAAAACCACAACAGTTATGCTGTGTTTACTGTATGAAAAAAATTGGATTACATCAGAAAAATTATTAGGCAATTTTTAAAAATCTTAAACTTTTCTTACAGCCACCTGGAAGAAAAAACACAGTGGGAACATCCTAAGTCTGGGAAGAGGAAACGTGTAGCAGGAGGTTTGTGTTAAGCCTTTGTAGTGAGCTGAAATTATGTTACAAACATCAGCTGGAGTTTGTGCAGGATCTAGATCTCGTTTTTATCTTCTAGTTGACACTGATCACCTAGGAAAACTGAGCTTGCAAAATACAGCTGATTTCAGTGGGGTTTTAACTATGTGATTGTGTCTGTGTGGAGTGGTCACTTTGCAATTTTATGGCTTTCTTGTATTGGTCCATAAAGCCAAAGTACTAATTCCAGGATGAAGGGATTGTTTTACTGTGGCTTGTAAAGCATATAGTTAAAGGCTGGAATTCCCTGACTGTGTTCTGATATCCTGGTGTCCATCAGATAATATTTATAGTTGGATTATGTTCTTGAAAGAATATATTTGATCAAAGAATATCTCTGGCACAGAAGGAAGTCCCATTAGTTTTCATTTTACTTGTCTTCCCTGACCCAGTTGTATGTTTGTGCCATAACAGAAGACGGCCAGTGTTGCAGGGCACTTCCAAAGGTATATGACTTCTTAAGGACCTTGGATCAGTGCCTTAACTTAGATGTTCCTAAAGCTTCTATATGGCATACCTAGGGGAACTATGCTGTTGGCAAGCCATATTTCTTTTGGCATTGGTAATGTGACTATAACTAACTGGAATGTTTTCAGTAGATTTTGAGCTGATGGAATTATAATTGAGTATTTTTGAGCCAGGATTAGAAATACTGGGAATGCTACCTGTTAAGTTCTTCTGTAGAGTCTTTTATATAAGAATTTATTTAGTAATCGTTTGTCATTTTTGTTCTTTTATCTGTCCTTCCAACTTTGATTTAACATATCCCATACCCACTTGAGGGTTATGGTCTTCCAACTTTTGGTATGTGCTATGTGTAACTTTTCCTATATTTTGTTCAATGTGTTTGCTATTTACTTTATCAGGGATAGATACTAAACTGTGTGCAGTATAGACTTGTGTGTGTACTAGCAAACATGGTTGCTTTTTGTCAGTTTGTGCTATAACATGAAATAAACTATAAAAAATTTTTAGAATGTATTTAATATACTAGTCATTACAGTTGTACTAGATCTGTATATTGTACTCTTAATAGAGAGCAATTGCGTGTGATCAGGGAAGCAATCCTTCTTTTAAGTTTCAGTATTGAAGTGCAGCAGGTAGCTGCATTACCTACGGAATTAATGCAGAATTTTGCCACATCTATCTGAGAAATCATTTAAACTTCAAATCTCAGTGTACTCTAATGCCTGCAAAAAGATAATATTTTACATTTCCTAGGTCTGCCATATGGATGGGAGCAGGAGACTGATGAAAATGGACAAGTCTATTTTGTAGAGTAAGTATGTCCAAATGTAGAATATGGACAAGTAGGACAACTGTGTTTCATGTTGGGTAGCCTTGTTGAGTTATGATACTGTGATAATATCAGGTGGAAGGACAAAGAAGTTAATAAGTACAACTTCAGAATCCATATGCAGATATTACAGTTGTAGCAGTGTCTAAACACCCATTTGTGGTTTTCTGAATTCTTCCATGTGCACAGAAATACCAGCTTGGGTGACAGAAATACTAGTTTGGGTGGCAGGTTGAAGTGACTTGCACAGCCACATCTCAAAATGTGAGCTGGCCCTCAGGCAATGTTTATATAGGCTCATTTTGTTTGTGCACCTTTATGGATAAACTCTGTACCCATAACTTTAAAAACATACGCAGAACTTCATGGCTGGTTATTAACATTGCAGTAGTGCTTTAAACATGCAAGAAGAGAACAAAATTTCTGCAGCTCTGATTCACTTGCAATTTAAAGTGCAGAAAGAAAAGAGGACAGGGATTGAGCTAGCAAAGATTTTTAGAAAAGTGAGGGAAGAGGAAGTTCACAGCACCAGAGGGAGATTTCTGGGAACGTTTCCTTTTGTATCTTTTCAATGGTAGAGTCAAAACAGGGTAGTTATCTTAAATTTACTTGGCAGAATGAAGAATATTCACAGGCCAAAATAGTAAGTGTAGCCTCTCTGTCCTATAATTAAAGGTTGAAGACTGAAAGTTATTGCTTAGTGTCTCTTTCTGATAATTGTCTGAAGAAAACTAACACTCCATTTATGTAGAAAGGTGAGCCTGACCCAAATTGTGCCATTTGCTGAGCTCATGTGAAGTTATTTGTTTTCAGTTGTTTGAGAAAAAAAGTACTGAGCTACATTTCTCATTGGTATATTGTTTCAAGGGAGTAGTGTAGGCTGCTTTTAATACAGTTTCTAGGAGAACACGATCTTCCCTAATATGATGCTATTTTTCCCTTGACAAAATTCTGCTTTCTATGTCAGGGGTTCACACGAAGTTCAGAATGGCATTGTGAAGTATGTGAATAGAATTAATAATGGATGCTGTCACAATTGGAAAAATGGGTTGATAAAAATAGTAATTGGGATCATTTTAACAAAACTGAAAAAATAATTTGATTTTGGGGAATTTAAATAATCCACTGGAATTGTACACAACAGCAGTTGAAATACTGAACATCTAAATGCAGAGTACAGAAGGGTCAAGCAGTTGAATTTTTGTGTTCTTTTGCAGCCACATAAACAAAAGGACTACCTACCTTGACCCAAGACTGGCCTTTACAGTTGAAGATAATCCAGTAAAACCTACTACTAGACAAAAATATGATGGAAACAGTACTGCAATGGAAATACTTCAGGGTCGTGACTTGAGTGGAAAAGTGGTTATAATCACAGGAGCAAATTCAGGAATAGGTAGGTTAACATTACACATGAGGTAATATACGGCAGACTTTATCTTACAGGCTACTTTGACATCAGTTGTTTAAATATGTATGCACTTTTGGTATTCAAACTTGGTTTGTATTTTATCCATATAAAACCTCTAGTTAAAAACCTTCTCTGTGTATTACTTTTTTAAAAAGTGTGGAGAATTTTGAGCTTAGAGGAGAACCACAGGAAAGACATCAAGTCTGGAACAGCTGATTTTTGTCTAGAAAAATATTGATGGAGGCATTTTACATTATGTAAATAGATAAAGGATGGCTGTGAAAGGGAAGGGATGGTGTTTATGATCTTGGTGGCTAGGACAAGGAGTAAGGTTTGTATGGCTGCAGGGGGGTTCAGATAAAGTGTTCAGAAAAACTTTGTAACGGCAGTAAGTAAACTTAGGTAAAGGAGGCTGTGGAACCTTTATCTGAGGGCATTTTTGAGTCAACTTGATGATGAACTTGTGATAGAATGTCATATTTGATGCTCCTTTCGGGGAAAAAAAAATATGTTTATGACCTTTTGAAATCCCTTTTAATTGTATTTTCTAGCAGGTTCATAACTCCTTTTAGACACTTAGCTTGTTTAGGTATCTGTAACATAGTATTATTTCTATAGCGGGTGAGTATTTGAGATATCTAATTATCTGCTTTTGTTTCATTTTATAATGAAGCTTTGGTGCTTGGGGGCTTTGCCTTTCTTCTCAGAAGACAGGATTTCTGCTACTTAATTTGCTAGGCTGTTTGAAGTTTCACTCAGCAACCTGCACGGGATGTATCTTTTTCTGTGGCTTAGATTTGTGGAGGAGTCACAAATATTACACCACTGGTGTGGTTTGGTGCTAGATCTGAATTTTTTTTGGTAAATGAGGGGGTCTGCACAATTCCTAGAGAACTGTTAATCTTTTGTTCCCTTTTGTGGTTTGCATTTTTCTTTATGGTGGGATTACATCAATATTGAAACACTCTTTATGCAAATTATTTGACGTCTTTTTTTTGTGCAGGATCTTGACTTAAATGTATTTATGAGGACATGGAAAACCTTGGAGACGTTCTGGAAAATGGGTTAATAGCAGGACTTATCACTCTGAATTCTCTTGGTCTTTACCTCTTAATTATTTAAGGGAATGTTATCCCACAGGAGTCAGATAAATGTAGAGCTTTATTGTAGCTTGTGATTTAGACATTAACAGTACATGTCCCGCTGTCATCGCATGATATGCTGCTACAGATTGGTATTGCAGTTAGGATAGGAAGTGCTGTACTTACCTGTCTCAGTGAGGAATTTGTGTTTTCTAGTAAGGCTTATGTTCCAGATTCTTAGTACAGCATGTCTTTACATTGCATCCAGCAGTAGAATTTGCTTTGTATGCAACTGTGCAGTCTCAGAACACTTAAAATTTACCTGGGTTTGCTTTCAGCAGAAGAGCTACCGTTCAGACTTGCTGAATGAGCTGAAAGTGTTTCATATATGGCAAAAGATTAATCCAAGATGCTTTTGTCAAGATTTTTTTCCCTTGTTTCTCATTTATAATCTGAATTGATCACAAGTAAGTGAGCATATCCTTGCACCAGATCCTCTTTGCTTGTGACATATAGGCACAGAGATACATGCACATACACAGATGCACTTCCTTGATTTCTATTAGTAGGTGAGGGAAGGATATCACCCCTGGCCAGAAGCATACCAAGAAGAGTGGGAGCATTAGTGAAATAACCCTTGGGCTTGTGCTGCTATATGAGGTTAGGACATACAGACTCCAAAGCTATGAAGGTGGTGTAGCAAGTATGTGATTAAGTTGGTGTTACGGCCTATATAACTCAAAACTCTTGCATACCATGTTGCATTTAATATTGCTATAATCCTAGGCTTTGTGTCTGATATTACTTACAAATTGCCATGGAGCATGGATTAAGGAGAAAGCAGTTCTAGGGTTTATGCTTCTTATGTAATCTATGTTCTTTTTTTTTCTAGCTCTAAGGGCTTCTGAGAGAGTATATAATCTGAGCTGGGTTTGTGCTGGTTATGCCTTCTGATTGACCTGTTTAATGGAGAAAAACAAGGCTCAAACTTCTTGGTGGCATGTGAAGGGAGTGCTCCCCCTTTGGGGTTGGCTAACAGTGTTCTTGTCCAATTAATTTGGACATAATTGTCAGAACCTGAAGTTTTCTTGAAACTCTGTTGTCTGAGTCTTTAAAATGTATCAGTCTTAGCTTAACTCTTAGCCATGCTTTGTGACTTTTGGCAAATTGCTTTGTCAGTGTCATGTAATGGATTGCAATGTAGAGATCCCTGTGAGCTTTAGTATGTCTACACAATTCTTTGAGACTCCATGTGGAAATACTAATTAGCTAATTCAAGCGGAGTCTTACCAACTTCGGAGTTTATTCCCCAGTTATTTTAGGATTTCAGTGCTGTGCTCCACTTTGTGTTGTAGATACTCCTTTTAAACTCTCTGTATTTTGGAGCTGGTATTTCCTTCCCTGAGTATTTTGAGAAGTAAACAATTACTGTGTTTTCAGAACACTAACATGCTTTCTTTAAGAGGTAAGTGTAAATATTTCCAAGGAAATATTGCTGTCCATTAAGTAAAAAGTGATTGAAAAAGAATGATTACTTGTTGAGCATTTGTACTCAATATGAGGAAAAAAAAAATCACTCAGCCTTTTCATTGTATGTATATGTATACCACCTTCAGTGGTATATTTGAACCTAACTTTATGGTATCCGTACATTTGTTGAGAAATTTTTCATTTCAAAACATGGGTAGAACAAAGATCAACATGTAAGTTGGTAGACTGCAGTATATCAAAATGCAGAAAAATGCATTTTCAATTACTGCATTGCTGGATGCTCAAGATAAAGTTTGGAAAATGCTGAGAAACCCTTGAAACATGGATGAACATAGAAGTTATTTTCTTATTCATCCATATACACCGCTTTAAGATAGCAAAGTTAAAAACAGATCAGCAAAGATGGAATGATGTGTTAATTGACTTTATTTGTGAATCTAGTACAGGGAATCCAATGTAGCTTGCCAGAAATTTTTTTTTTTCTTGTAGTTGAAAAATCTCTTCATCTTCTGAAAAATAGGGAAGCTTGCTTAAATACTAGGGGAATACTTGGATGACTTCAACAGTGGTAGAGTTTTAGTGGTATCACACGTACTGGCTTCTCAAATGTTACTTCATTGCCATTAACTTCTTTTAATGTGTCTGTAAAATGGGGAGACTATCTGCTCTGTGGACCTTCTTTTAATTATTGTCTAGGAATATGGACTGTAAGACTTTCCTAGTTTACATACCCACTTTCTTAACTTAGTCCTTAAAATTGCTACAAAATGTGTGTGGGAAAAAAGTTGTACTAAAAATGAGATTTATAAACACTTCATTAGTTTTCATTAGCAACTTGGAAAAGATTAATGAAGTATTCTGTCCTTAAAATATACAGAGATTATAGCAGATCCAGAATTATTAGTAAAATGTTTTCTTATTTTTTTAGTTTGGAAGCTTTTTCTTCTGACAGTGCAGTCCAAATATTCTTCAGATTTTTTCTCATCTGTGTTTTAAGCTCAATCAAAATTTTAGTTTGAGTATCACATTAGAAGTTGAGGTAGCTTTTTGTCGTGATAAAGCTGGTGTAGTAAAAAGTAGTAAGACTGACCTAACAGTCTTTTTGCATCAATCCTTCTGGTTTTAAGAACTTACTGTTCTATGTACATTTAAACATGAGTAGTGTAAATTGTCAGTATTTTCTCTTAAAGTCAGTAAGACTTCTTCCATTGTGAAGAATTAAAGGTAGCGTGCAGTTTTGTGTATGTTTTTTTTGTTTTAAAGGTCTCAACATCAGTTAGGTTACGGGGAAAATACTTCCCTAGCATGCTTGCTGCTTGTATGAATAAAGTCATACGTTCTTATTTTTCCACTAGAGGGCTGTGTTGCTCTTTGAAAATACTAAACAAAGGCGACCTGGTGCTTTTTGCTGATTTTTGGTAAATGCTCCTGTAATTTTGTTGTTTGTGTTCTTAATTATTAGGGCCAGAATTTTAAATTTTAAAAAGTGTTAGCTGTTCCTCTAGATTTAATTTTATAAAAAGATGTGGTATTTCCAACTGCATGTGTAAGCAGCCTCCTCAAATCAAACAATTTTTTTAAAAAGAATATTACTATGTTTTCATATCAGGGAGACGGTTGTGTAGCTAACATGGTTTTCTATAACTTGTACCAGTATTGCTATCTGTTTTTAAGATTCATATAGCTATATGACCTTGAAACTACATGTTCTGTTTTCTGTATTGGAAGCAGTTGCATGTAACCTATTGTGACTGCTAGAGTATGCATGAGTAGCAAATTGTAACTAGTATTGCAGTATATTATGGAAAGGTAAAATGTGTATGTTCTGTGCAGTCAGGCAGATTCCACAAAGTAGGGTTTTTCTTAATGATTTTCAAAGATTTTATCACAAAACTGTATTGATAATCACAACCAAACCGTTGCTCAAACTGCAGTTGTAACTTTTCTGCTGTATGAAGGTCAAAAGAAATCTGTTAATTGCTTTTGTGAGGGTTGCCCAGAACAAGCACAAATTATCTCAAGAAAATGATAACTGTTTTTGGCTTTGAGCAGCTTCAATTTTTTTTTTTTTTCCCAAATACTGAAGAAAATCCAGAAGTTTCAGTCATAATGTGGCTTGCTATATTGCTTTTCTTGATTATGTTTTACCAGAGTAAAGCATGTAATTTTATAATTGTGGAAATGTTTTAGATTATTTCTTAAAAATAATTGTCGGTTAACGTTTGGTTAAATGCAATTCCCTCCCCCGCCC